AGGAAAAATTATCGTTTTTTACTCATGTAATCGGGTGGGGTGCTTGTTAAGAGAACGAATTACTCAAGAAAGTCGAAATAAGAAGGAATTAATAATTGTGTAGCGTTTGCTCGTATAGAGAAATACGAATAGAAAAATACGGTATAAAATAATATTTAATACTGTCAAATATGTTTATTATATATATATATATATATATATAATATATGTATAATATATATGTATAAAAGTAGGGAAATTATATAATAGTGATTAATATCGAATAATATTCTCGACAGAATGAACAAAGAAAGAAAAAAAAATGATTCATGAAGTCGCGTGTCCATTCGGTTTCGCCCTTTCCAAGGGGAGAATAGAGGAGGCGTGAGGTAGATGAATCATTGAGTCGGCCTCTGACGTGTCAAATAAAAGAGGGAGGCGATCGAAGAATCAAAGCGGGGCAAGGTTGCAAACCAAGTAAGAACTTATTTCCATGTCTAGGATTGGTTCATGTTCATATGAAATATGAACGAAAGTAATATGACTAATATTATAGAATTTGTTTCATTCAAATGACAGGGTGAATTTATTCAAAATGGCTACCGATTTTATTATACACACGCTACTTTTATTTGATATTATTGGAGAAAAAATTCGTTTAGAGAAATTGATTTTTTTTCTGTCGAGTATTAGATGTGTATGCTAATTTAATGATTGTTAGAATTTTCTCGTAAAATTTATTTATATACTCTCAGATTATTGATATTAGATCTAAAAAAATAATTTTTCATTTAAGAAAATGTATATTTTTATATTTATGATAATATTTAATTTTATTTTCAAAATTCTCTTTATTAATTGCTATATTATAGAATATATTATAGAATAATTTTATATAAATTTTTCTTTTTCTTTTTTTATTTCTTTAGTTTCCAACAACTAAGTAATTATATTGAAAGATGAGTAAAAATAACGAGAATGGAATATCTCTGGCAACACCTCCAGCTATTCACGTTGGTCCGATAGTGAACCCAGGCACTAACGAGACCATTTCTATCGTAATACCGTTAGCAACTGTTACCAGTCAAAAAATTGAAAATTCATGCAAAGATTGCAATAAAGATGCCAAACATTCCTCCAACAATATCAATTCTCGGCCAAAAAACGATAAAACCAAGGGATGTCCTTATCCTGGTTGCACCAGGTATGGTAGAGCTTTCTCTAGGGCACACGATCTGAAACGCCATATTGCTCGTCATGAAATGAGAAAAGAAAAATTATGTGATTATGAAAATTATAAGCAACGACAAAATGATAAAGAAAGTATTGAGAGTATAACAAATGGAATAATCAATAGACAACATATTGTTTGGAATAACGAATCACACGAAAAATCTTATTCCTGTTTACACTGCAAGAGGAAGTACACTAGCGAGATCAAACTTAAGGCTCATATGAGTTCTCATGAAAAGGTATGTGAAAATTATGTATATTTTTAAAATCAATAGAAGAAGTTGGAGTAAATATAAGAAAATATTACATTTTCAATTATCCATATTAAATAGATATCTTATTCAGATAATCAATAATTTCGTTTTAATATAAAATACCAAATATATAAGCATTCATTATTCAATGCAATCAAAAAATTTCTCAGAATTCAGAATAGATCTAGATTAAATTACTCTCTATTTTCGTAATCATCTTTTTATCAATAAACGTAAATTAATCAGTTTCTTTGTTAGTCTGACAACAAAAGAAACTTTATTTATTTATTAATCACGCATTTTAATATCAGATCTATCCATATTTATATTATCAATACTTAACAGATTCCAGGCAAAAATATGTGTGCTCTATGTGGAACATGTTCCCGAAACGAAGAAGAATTACAAGAGCATATGAAACAGCATACAACAAATATATTAGAATCTCAAACAGCATTAGAGAATAGTGAAAAAGAACAACCAGACAAAGAAGATGACTTCCTGCTCGAGGAAATGTTACTTCTCAATAAAAATCCACGAAGAACTATGCAACAAGAAAAAAATAATTCAAATACAGTATCCAAGATAAGATGTGACTATTGTTCTAAAACTTTCAAGACCAAATGGACATTGAGCTCCCACGTAGCAGCTCACGAAGGCCGTTTTCAATTTGATTGCGGTCAATGTGGTAAAAAATTCGTCAGAAAAAGCCATTACGAAGGTCATATGAGATCCCATGAAGCTGCAAGACCCTATGTTTGCGAACAATGTGGAAAAACATTTAAAGAATTGAAACACAGAAGAGAACATACTAAAAGGAAACATCCTACCAATCAAAACGCAATCCAAACACTTCTGGATAGCATCAGCCCTTGTGGATCTGAGGAAGTACCGGTAGATCAAACGAAGTTCACGCTTTTGATGCCTGTTAATTTTTCCGTGTAGTCTTGAACATGATTTATCCTGAAATAGTTAAAAATGATTAGATAAATGCGTAATCTTGTTAAGTATGGAAAACGATAAAAATTTTGTTTTAATATGATAAAAAAATTTTGACATTAATTTTGATTTTAAATTTAGAAGATGTTAAATCCTTTTTTAATGAGGATTAACGAAACAGGGTTTGAAGAACTAAAATAAGATTTAAAATAAAAGTTTTTAGTAGAGAAAGTTTCTGAAGGATTGTCCTTTTATAATAAGGAGATTGTATATTGTGGAATGATATATATTGTGAAATGAAATTTTATGAGAAATTATTTTTATGAAATTTTTATTATTTTAAACTTTACTAATTTTCAATGAATTATTTATTTCACAATATATAGAAAATTGATGATGTATAGTCATAATTGTAATTATTCTTGTACATTCAAAATTGCGATTATAATTTGAATAATTTTAAGATTCTATTTTTTTGTGTCAATAATTAAAAAAACTGTATATTATTTCTTAAAATATACAGAATAGATAAACTAAAGACAATCTCAACATAAAAATGACATACAAGTTGTACATATATGATTCTAATAAATCAGTCATTATAAAAAATAAATATTTATTATTTTCGATAATGATTATCATCACTTTCATTAATATGAAAATTTTATTAATTTGAAAATTTAATTGATATGAAAAAAATTTCGTAATGTGAAAAAAATATAATAGCTTGTACAAAATTGTAAAACAAGAATCGAAGTAAAAACTCGATTAAAACGATAGCTGCATATCGCTTTTGTTTTGCCTTGTCTGACATTTTTAGTTTTATTAAATTTTTATCCAAAGGCAACGTTTTAATTAGGACAAAGTGTAATGTAATAACGAGGAAAACTCAATTAGTTATTTAACATCATAACGACGAAAAGAAAGAAGAAAAAAAAACAAAAAATAGCAAAGTAGCATCGACTGCCAAACATCAAAGGATATCATCAATTTATATCCTCCATTTCTTTTCCTCCTTTTAATGTTCCTCCATTTTAAATGAATGTGAATAAACGAGCAAAAATACCAATTATAAAATGCGATCAATACCAAGAATCGCAAATAGATCAAGAAAAATTCCAGAAAGAAGAGAATTATTATGGGTATGCGTTGGACACGCTTCCGCCGGAAGTTTTGGAGATGATTCTTCGATTACTTCCTCTTCATGATGTAGCCACTACCGTGCGTTTGGTTTCTAGGTGATTTTTTAAATGTTATTGTTTATTTCGGTGTTCTTCATTAATTTATCATCTACGAAATTTATCTATCTATGAAAAAAATTTTTTTTTATAAAATATGATATTTTACTTTATTGTGTCCCATTATATTTTTAATTTTAAAAAGATTAATTTAAGATTTCATATATTTTTCCTCTGTATTTACCTACAAGGTTTAATCATAATTGCCATTTTAATTTTGAGATTATTTAATAAAATTAATAAATTTTATCCTATATATATTATTTCGATCTATATTCATATCCTATATATTTTATCCTATACGTATTTTAAAAGATCATTATTTTTATGCTTTTTAGACATTGCTCAACGGTAGCGGCTGCAGTTTTAAATGGAGCTTTTCTTACCGCCTGCACGAAAGTAGAAGGATTGATAAGACGTAATGAAGAGCTAATGAAAAATGCAAAAACAGATACCGAATTATTGGCTTATAGCAAAGCTCTGAATGCTCTAGAATTGATTAAAGCGCAATATAAAATGTTACGAGCCGTGACGTGGAGATATACACATCCACCATCGAAGCAACAAAAATTTTCGCGACTTTGTTTCTACGCGGGCAGTTTACTTGACAACCTGAATGAACTTCTTAACCGAATTGCAAACTATCACCCATCTATTATCGGTCCTCGTACCTCGGAATCGAGTGTCACTTCTTTTATAGCCGTCTGTAAACGATTTATGAATTTTTTCGAAAAAGTCTCTGAGCGCAGGGTAAACAGGTGAATTATTTTATAAAAGGATATTAGCCTTGGTACTACGATTCAAATTTTTAATCTTTTTTTCTCTTCGGCCATATGATAAAAAATATTGAATAATTTCAAACGAATCTTAATATCTCAACTAATCCATAAAAATTTAATTTTTTCCAATTATTTTTAGTATACAGAAAATAATTTCTAAATTTTGCTTACATTTATGGATTAAAATGTTACGCGACGAAATAATATTAGTAGATCGGCCCTAATCTCCGGATGCAAGGTCGTAGATGTTTTGGATTGTCTCGTAGAAGGTCGACAAGTACTATTTTTCAAAGTATCATCTAACAGAAGAGGTCTCGGTGGAGCTGTAAGCATGAAACTGAAATACACAATGAAACGTGCTTGGTTTACCTGTTTAGAAGTTACAAAAAATACCGAAGAGAACTCTTGGAGGGACGAACAACGTTTCATGTATCTTCGATTACGACGTCTAGTGGGTAGTGTGAACGAGCATCTCTTCGAGAATTTACATTACGAACACGAACTACTCTTACAGGTTACATTTACAAAGGCGAGAGAAACAAAGCATGAAACGAAGTATTATCATCGATAAATAGTTCTATCGATATTCTTTCCTTCCTAGATTCCTTTGACACTTCCACTAAGACCTCCACCAGCTTCCACTTACTCGGGATACGGAGAGTACGGTGGACGTTTCTTTTACTATGGAAATATGAATAAATATGCATATGAAAGTAAATTTATGCATACAGTGAGCACGGCAAATCTAACAGTCGAAACTGAACAACAGGTCCAGAGACCACCATCATTTGATCTAGTGATTGAGGTTGATTTAAAGTGCACACCAGAATTAGCGCCACTTGCTGTCAGATCGATTTTAAAATCTGATGAATTTGAAACCAATGAGTCAAAAACACACAAGAATCAGCAGCTCTATTTACGAATGAATGTCATATGCTCAGCGTCGATAGCTAATAGATTACCTGGTAATTTTGTGTGGGAATTGCGTAGCCCACGACATGTATGTCAAAATTTGTGAATTACCTCGGTTTTTACATTAAAATATTACACTATAAAATATTGTAAGCACATACATTCGTAATCATATACACGTACACATATATACACACATACGCGTGTATATATATGTATATATATTGAAATTATACAATTATATGTCTTATATTAATTTTT